CAGGCTGGGAGAGAGGGCGCTCTGCAGGGGCGTCGGCGGAGGGACCCTCGTTGAGGAGGAGCAAAGTGACAGGCCGAGAGGCAGGGGAAGCCTCAGGAACGATGCTACTGGGCACCCCTCCGCAAGTACTCACTTCTCGATGCCCGGGAAGAGGGGGCCGGGGAGGAAGCAGGTCATGCTTCGAACCCCACCAGGGCAGAGACTGCGCGACGAGAGCACAGGGTAGCCGCCCTCCAGCCGGAATCACTTCCTTCACCGCGCAGCAGCGCCCACAGCCCGGCCACAACGAGTCCACGCACCGGCTTCACACTGAGCTCAAGAGCAAGGGTCCGCGCACCATCGGGGGCAGCGGGAGGCCCTGTGCTCCCCGTCTCTCAGAAACAGGCAGGGTGAGCAGAAAAGTTAACTCGAGGCCCCGCACCTCACAGGTCACCACTGCAGGGCAAAGGACGTCACAAGAATTTCTGTAAGAGTCAAGCTTCCCTGCAAATCTTATCGGCCTCCCCTGACAGCACCGGTATGTAGCTGTCGCTCTGAGATACGACTCCCACTGCAGCACAATTAATTCCAAAAGAGAAAAACAGGTTGAAGAATGAGACTTTAACAATGAATTCATTGTAACAGCTAAGCTCTCCGCCGGAGGAGTTCCCACTGAAATACCGCCGAGAAGCACACACGCAGCCGTCTGCGCGCAGCCTCGCGTCAGCCCTCTCCGACGTGGGCAGACCTGCCACCGGCTCCACAAACGTGCAGAAGACACAGACCTCCACGACGAACCTCCTGGCATCCAGACATACCACCCCACGACACCTTTACAGGCTCCACTTCCCCGAAGGCCGCAAGCTGATTCAAAGCACAGTGGCTGGTCCGCAGGGCACCGGATCCTGTCTGTGGGGCAGGGGAGGTCACTAGGCCACGAGGAACCGTGTGCCCACCTTCCTCAGGCCCCCAGACAACATTCCAAAGGAAAACCATGCTTGTCTGTTCTCCCGTGGGCTGTGCACCAAAGCAGGGGCTGGGACAGGGCACATCCCATCGCTTCCACGCACAGCCCTCCTCCTGTGGGCCTGCAAGCCCTCCAGCCATGGAAGCAGAAACCTCCATCAGTTGCTCTGAGCAAGGATATGAAAGCCACAAACATAGATCCTTTAGAACAAACGACCTCTCTTAAGACATTCAAGATGACTTGGAATTTCTTGGGGAGTAAAAATCCCAGTTAAAAATCAGGAAAATGTCCTACACTAAGAGGATGGAAACAGATTTTGTGCAGCTACAGAAACGCAACCAGCCAAGCACTGAAAACAGACCAAGGACCACCATGAACCCAAAAAGGCCTTTCACCTCTAAGGCACTATCATCAGACCGTACTCCCCATCAATCTTGAAAAAATGCACTCTGCCTCTTGTTCGGTAGAGACTGGACACACCACTGGCTCTAGGTATTCAAACGATTTTTTTAAAGGGTCTGGTAACAAACGTGAGCCAGTTAACAAGACGGCACTGTGCAACAGGCCTGAACGACACACGTCCGAAACTTGGTTTCCACACCAACACTTCCTCCCCGGTGACCTGCCCTTTGAACCTGCCTTCAAAACAGCTGCACTGCCCCACCGCGGCCGGCTGCCACCCACGGGGCCGGCGCGGAGCTCACACACATGGCCCGCGCCTCGCACCTGCTGAGGGCGCCACGTCTGCACCAAGGGCTCCTCAGCAGCGTGTGGAGCTCCAGCAAAGTCCATTTCCCGAGAAGCTATCCTCAGGAACGGACAAAGTCTAGTGCCAGGGAAGGGTCTCCACACTCCAGCAACTCGGGGGGGCTGAGCTGCTCCCCCATTTGTGCGGCTACTCCCCATTCACCGCACCTCTGCCTGCACGCGCCCGAACCGCACGTCAGGCGGCCCAGAGTGAAGAGGATGACACGGCCAGGACCTACCTTTTCCTCGTTCCACGCTCTGCTAAAGGAGCCAGAGGCCAGGACCTGCTCTGAGGAGCTGCCCAGGACCGCTCTGCGGGCCCCACGGCTCCGCAAGCCGCTGCTGCTGCGGCGATCCTTCCCACGGAGACGCTCAGAGAACAGCACCACCCTCCACCCCCGTCTCCGAGCACACGGACCTTGCCCTGCCGGCTGCCAAGGGCAGCAGGAGCGTCACAGGGACAGAAAAGCATCACACCACGCAAGACTCAGGAGGAGCGGCCCAAGAAAGGAGTGCGGAAATGAGAACCCACTTCTTCCCATGTCCGCGTTTCCCCAGCCACCTTCCCGCACGGAGGCGGCCGCCCCTGCAGAAGCCAGAGCCGCCCCACCTAGCGGGCGCGGAGCCGCTCTGCCTCATCCGCCGTTTTACCTTCCACCGAATCTCTGCCCAGTTCTTGTTCCCCGAAGGCAGGATTCCAAGCCTGCCCCGTCACTGTATCGGCCTCAAACCCAGAGGGAGCCCAGCCTCTTTCCAGACAGCTGCTTTCTGACGGCGTGAGGCCCAAAGAGGCTCCAGGGGTCACAGAGTTCAGCCATCCGCGCAGAGAACTAAACACGCGCGCCGTCCGCCGTCCTCCGTCCTCCGTGTGAAGACGGCCCTCCTGCCTCCAGGGCGGCACAGTCCGCACATTCAGGCGCAGCTCCCAGGGAACACGTTCTGGGCGGTGGCACCAAGCACTTCCTCAAGCCAAGTGCTGTACTGCGCTGCCCAGGAGACCCTCCCTCGGGACGCTCCTCCCATGGGGGGTTCGAGTGCTGCCCAGGCCAGCCGCCACTCAGTGGCGGGTTCACACTAAGCACATACGATGCCTCCCCACATCCCAGCGTGCACACCTGTAAAATGGGAAGGACACCGACCTCACACAGCACCGCTAACAAAATCAAGCAACACGGGGTGAGCTATCTGGAAGTGTCTGCTTCTACAGTAAGTGCTCAAGAAATGGTTCCTCCAGTCTCCGGCCCACCTGAACATCTGAGTAGACTAGACGGTTTTCACACTTCATTTGTAGTGCTCCCCCTGTTGCCTGTACACGCTCAGAGAGATGGGAATTTTCAGTAATTGGGATGGGGGCTTCTCCACACAATGCCACCTTAAAATTCTAGATGCAGGGAGGTCTGGGTGGCTCAGTCGACTGGGCCTCTGCCTTCAGCTCGGATCATGATCTCAGGGTCCTGGGATCGAGTCCCACATCAGGCTCCCTATTCAGCGGGGAGCCTGCTTCTCCCTCCGCCTGCTTCTCCCTCTGCTTGTGCGCCTGCCTGCACACGCACGCTCTAACAAGTAAATAAATACATATATGCAGGTACACACACACACATACACACACATAAAATCTAGATGCAAACCCACTTGAACCATGCAAATCTGTCTGCAGGTAAAAACCCAATACTGGGGGCACCTCTGCCATTCCTGAGGGCAAATATGGCAAATTCTTCAGCAGGGAGGGAGGGGATCTAGTTGAAGACACAAAAGCCTGTCCCTCTCACTTTCAGACAGGGAGATCCATCCTTCATACTACAATTCACTTTCCCTCACTGGATTCCAGCATTTTTGCACCAAAAGGCTGACTTATGCAAAGAAACTCCAGATGTCCCAGGCCCATCGTGTGGAAAAAGCAAGACCATGAGGAAATGGATTCTTTGCCTCTTGCTATGACCATCTCCACCAAAGTACACACCTTACACTCCAACAGCATCGGTGTCTGAAAGTTCATTTTACACACTTCCATGGCTGTCGTCACCCCCGGCCTCCACTGAGGCTCGCCAAGAAGCCCAATTCGTGTTTTTGCCTGTTATCCCAGACACCCCAGGGTACAGCCACATGTCGCAACAGTCCAAGACGGCCCCTTCGCCTTTCACCATTTTCTCAACCGAACAGGTCCTCCTCTTACACTCAGAGGCGTCGCCCATCTCTACAGTGTTCTTAGCATGAAGTCTGAGGCTGAACTGCAGAAGGTTCAAGAACGGCTAAATTAATTACAAAATGCGGGGTAACTCAGTGTTTTTTCTCAGGAGAGGAATTACACCACCAGATTCTCACAGGGGTTCGGACTCCCCAAAAAGGATTAAGAACCGCGACCACAAAGCTGTATGCTGGAAAACAAGGCGTCAGGTAAGCTTCCTTCACTCAATTAAGCAATTCTGATTTGCCTTTTGAACCAAATTTTGCAAGCGGTGCCGACGTTCTTCCATCACCCACTTCCACAGTCGCGCCCGAGGTATAAATTCTGAAACCACCTTCGCGACTCCCAAACTCAAACACAGGGAAAACATCAGAACACCGAGGATACTTTTAGCAACAGAGAAAAAAACATGGAAACACTAACGATACTTTTAAGCAAAACATTTCACCCAACAAGTGCTTTTCCTTTTTCTTTCTCCCCTGCAATCCCTCCTCGCTGTCACGACCACTCGCCCCTCGGCAGCAGGTTCAAGTCCGACCTCCCCGGGGCTTCCCATACTTGATGCCACTGCTGGAGAAGAGCCCCAAGGCAGGAAAAGCAGCCAGTGCCGCTCCGCCGGGCCGGGAAAGGAGGCTACCAGATCCCACCCTAACCGTGAATTTGCGGGAAGCCTGGAGCATCAGGTGCTCTGAGCAAGAACTCGTCCCTCCCGCTTCGCTGCGGTAGAGGCAGCGGGACCCCGTTCCAGGTGAAGGCCCAGGAAGGTTCCTCCGCAGACGGAACGAAAGCGAACCCCGGAGGCTCAGCTCCAGGCCGCGGCGCGCCGAAAACAAACTTTCCGAGCACTTCCACCGCGACAGGCCAGTGACACCTCCCCGGCCTCCCCCGCCCTCCGCGCGTCTGTCAGCGCCCCCGCCGGGCAGGCGCCGGCCGCGCCGGGGCCCGGGCTCCCCGTGGCGGCCGAGAAGCGCCCTCACGAAGCCCGCGGTCCCCGGCCCGGCCGCAGGTGAGGCGCCGCCCGGCCCTGGGGACGCGGGGCCGCCCCGCCTCGCCGGGCCCCGGCGGCCGCTGCGCTTGGCTTGGTGACGGGCCGGCGCGTCCGGGCGGCCGGCGCGCACTCACCAGCTGGCTGGTGGTCCTGGCCATGGGCCCCGCGACGGCGCGGGCGCCTCCCCCGCAGCGCTGCGCGGCTCGGCGCCTCCTCAGCGTCCTCCTCCCCGCGGCGGAGCCCCAGCAATGGCCGCCCTCATCCTGCGCCCGCCCCGCCGCCCGCCGCCCCCGGCGCCGCCCCGCCCCCGCGCGACGTCGGGCGGGACTTCCGCCAGCCTGCCGCCGCTGCCCGCGCCCATTGGCCGCGCCCGCCATCGCTCCGCCGCGACTCGGCCGGCCTCGCCGGCGCCCCCGAGCCGCATTTCCGGGTTGGGGACCAGCGGGCGGGAGCGGCCCGGCCCCGCCTCGAAGGGGGGGCGGCCCGCACGAACCAATCCCGGGGCCGCGGGGCGGGGCCGGGCGGGAGCCGGGAGGGTGCGGGGGGAGCTGTCATCCCCGGAGCCCACAGGGGAAACTGAGGCTCGCTGGGGCCCGCGCTGGCCAAGGTCACGCCCCAGGCAGCGGCAGGGTCCCGCGCGTGGCTGGGCCGGGAGCCGGGCTCTGCGCAAACACCGACAGGTGCAAATCGGCTGCCTACGACACGGACAGGCGCTCCCGGACGGAAACCGGGGCTGTCAAATCCCATTTGTAAGGCAGAAATCACGGCTGACAGTCGCACGGACACCTTCGGAGCTCTCTTCTTTGGTTATGGCCTCGTGGATTTTTCTGGTCGTCGTCACCGTTGATGATGATGTCGAATTCTTTTTGTAGTTGTTAATGACGATGGTGGTGGTGCTGGTGTTCCTAGTTGTGGTGAAATATACGTAACATTTACTTCCGTAACCATTCTAACATCTGCCATGTGTACAGCTGAGTGGCATGAAATGCATTCGCACTGCTGTGCTAGGACCACTCTGCTTTAAACAAAATCCCCATCATCTCTGCTAACTCAAGCTTGCATGCTTTTAAATAACCTTCTTTCCTACTTCCAAAAGAAATACGTTTATTTTTTTTTAAATGACAATTCACACAGTACAGAGATTAGATAAACGAATCCATAAGCCCAGTAACTGGAATTAATTCTTGAACAGCCGTGATCTCCGCTAACATTGACCAAGCAATTACTTTTTTTTTTTTTTTTTTAGCACTTACTCTTACTAAAGAATTTTCCTGCCTATGGGGCGCCTAGGCGGCTCAAGTCCATTAAGTGTCTGCCTTCAGCTCCAGTCATGATCCCGAGGTTCCCACTCCCTGCCCAGTGGGGAGTGTGCTTCTGCTTCTCCCTCCTCTGCTCCCCCTGCTTGTGCTGTCTCTCTAATAAATAATAAAATCTTAAAGCAAAACAAAAGAGAGAGAGAGAGAAGCATCCGTACTAGTGTGGCCCGTTTTCAGGTGAGGAAGCTGAGGCAGAGTGGGGTTCTGTAACTTGCCCTGGGTCTCACAGTGCCAGAACCAGGATCTTGATACCCATATGCCAGAGGCTATGCTTTGAGCATTAGGCTCTACAGCCTCTGCCTGTCCAAGCTTCCAGTCTTCTGTACACAGATGCACCTTGAACAACAGTAAAAAAGGTCAATATAACTCCTACTCCCCAAAAGGGCTTCTGCGGTTTTGACGCTTTTTTTCACTTAGCCACGAATGGTCCTGCACCCCGTACGGCTCTCCTGACATCTGGCCACTATCTTCCCCAGTGGCGAGGGTTGCAGAGGACTCCGCTGGAAGCACCCTCTAACTTCTAGATCCATGCACTTGATCGAGCTCCCTCCAGACACTGAACTGGTCCCGGACTTCCTCCTCGTAAACAAGGCCCCGCACTCAAATTCAGGCACACCTTTATTTATTTCCTTGGGATAAATTCTCAGCAGATGGAACTGCTGGGTCAAAGTACAAGGATCCCTCTCGGCACTTCTGCTACAGGCTGTGAAATGCCAATTGCTTACCTCACTCCGGACACTAATCCTCAGTGAATGTAAAGACAAGGTCAAGATAGAGACCAGCTCCTACCACCATGCCAAGCCACATGGAACACTCGGGAACCCTGGGAACATTACCCTACATCATAATCCTTAGCACAGATTAAAAGTAGCACATCTGATTTTGCCCACAACAGCCCTGTGAGCGGCAGGCAACTGTGACCATTTCCCTCTTTCACACGAGGGAACCAAGGCTTTCCTGCCCTGCTTCCTCTCAGTCATAGAGTTAACAGGTCACAGAGCACAGAACTCAAAACCAAGCCCCAACCAGCAGCCCAGGCCTGCTTTGGGCTACTGCACTCAAGTGCCTCCCAACAAACCCTTCTTTTGTGTTTACTGTAGTCCTCACAAAGCAATAACAACTTGTCCTCAGGGAACGCTAACCATTTTTAAAGATTTATCTTAATTCTCATCACAACCCTACCAGATACTTAGTATTTATTACCATCTTACATGGGAAATTTGCCACACCTTACACCAAATGCACTTGTAAATACACAGCTTTAGATTCTAAAAATAATGTATCTATATTTATGTATACACACACACACACACACACACACACACACGAAGAGCAACCTTTCTCAGAAAGTTACTAATGGATGTACGCCACGAAATGACAGCATAAACCAACAAAGACGACGACATGAGATCCGGGAAACAAGAAGGAACAAAACACACAGGAAGGTGATGAAGGGGAAGTCCTAGGATGTGTCCACTCAGCAAGGATGGGTTCGGTCTCCCCTCTGTGTCAAGCACTGTGCTAGACCTTCACAATTCCCTGGCATGCGAAACACAGAAATCTCTGCTTTGTGAAACTCCGAAGCCACAGGCCGGAGGCAGGGTTGGGGAGACAAATAAGCAAATGTTGGGGGAGGTCAGAAGTCAGTGAGTGCTGTGGGGAAGAAAGAAATCAGCGTGGACTCAGGAGTGCCTGGGGGAAAGGTGCAATTCTAAACGGATAATGAGGAGAAATACTGGGATAAAAACAGGGAGCACACAGACCCAAGGGACCCAGGCTTTGGAGGGCTCCAGGAAGATGCTGAAAATGATAGATCCTCTCATGGCTTTCGCCACATAAAAAACTAAATTAAGAAGCCAACAGAGAGGGGCGCCTGGGTGGCTCAGTGGGTTGAAGCCTCTGCCTTCGGCTCAGGTCATGATCTCAGGGTCCTGGGATTGAGCCCTGCAGCCGGGCTCTCTGCTCAGCGGGGGGTCTGCTTCCTCCTCTCTCTCTGCCTGCCTCTCTGCCTACTTGTGATCTCTGTCTGTCAAGTAAATAAATAAAATCTTAAAAAAAAAAAAAAAAAGCCAACAGAGAAACAGGAAAACTCCAGAGGAAGAGTCCTATCAGGGAGGAAGCAAAGTCACCATTCGTTCTCAGCTGTGAGGGATACTCACAGTCATAAAACAGGAGCACAGATTAATCATCGTCTGCCTCAGAAGGACCCAGAGAGGAGAAGGGGCATGAGACAGCTGAATCCTCACCTCTACTAATAGACAGGCAAGAGAAAACGGCTGGAAGTGATGGTCCACACATAAAGGGGCAAAATATTCCCTAGCCAGATAGAGGTACACAGCAGGAAGAAAACTTAAATCAGGAATAAGTGCGATGTGAGTAAGGGGAGGTGAGGGGCTGCTATTCTGCATTACAAGCCTTTTTATTTTTATTTTACCTTTTAAAACATTTTTATTCTTATTTATTCAAGAGAGAGAAAGAGAGATGGAGGGAGGGCACACAAGCAGGGGGAGCAGCAGAGGCAGAGGGAGAAGCTGATTCCCCACTGAGCAGGAAGCCTGATGTGGGGCTCAAATCCCAGGACCCCGAGATCATGACCTGAGCTGAAGGCAGACACTTAACCGACAGAGCCACCAGGGCGCCCCTGCAAGCCTTTTTATTTTTATTTTTATTTAAAGATTTTATTTATTTATTTGACAGACAGAGATCGATCCCAGGACCCTGGGATCATGACCTGAGCTGAAGGCAGAGGCTTTAACCCACTGAGCCACCCAGGCATCCCTATTTTTTAGTTTTTTAAAAGATTTTATTTATTTATTTGACAGACAGAGATTACAAGTAGGCAGAGAGGCAGGCAGAGAAAGAGGAGGAAGCAGGTTCCCTGCTGAGCAGAGAGCCCGATGTGGGGCTTGATCCCAGGACTCTGAGATCATGACCTGAGCTGAAGGTAGAGGCTTTAACCCACTGAGCCACCCCGGCGCCCCAGCCCTACAAGCCTTTTTAGATCTGGCTTCTTAAACATTGACGCAAATAAAAATAAAGTGGGTGTATCTTCTTCCAGGAGATTTTAAGAAGCTCACTCATGAAGGTAAAACTGAGCAAGAATGTTGGTGACGGCGACGGTTAAACACGAAGCAAATAACAAAAAAGAAAAAGAAAAAAAAAGAACCACACTATCAACAAAAGAAATGGTAAAATAAATCATGATACGTTCATCCTGGAGAATTCAATGCAGCTACTGGAAAGAAGGGGGTAAAGGCCTAATGGAGAGAGAGTGAAGGTAAAGAAGCAAGTCACAGAATATGGGCTGCCTGGGTGGCTCAGTGAGTTAAGCCTCTGCCTTGGGCTCAGATCATGATCTCAGGGTCCTGGGATCTGGCTCTCTGCTCAGCAGGAAGCCTGCTTCCTGCCGCCCGCCCCCGCCTGCTGGTCTGCCTACTTGGGATCTGTCAAATAAATAAATAAAATCTTAAAGAAAAAAAAAATAATAATACGAACCGAGGCCTTTAGCTTTTCTTTTTCTTTCTTTTCCTTTTTTTTTTTTTTTTTTTTTTTTTAAGGGTCAGTTACACCAAAGCATGACCATGTAGTTCTCTTTGGGAATTCAAAGAGCAATGGGGGCGGGGAGCATGAGGGACAAGTTTGTGGCGAATGCTAGAGCCCCTGGAGCAGCAGGTGGGGCAAGCATCCTCTGTGGCCTCGGGAAGGTGTGAGGCAAGAGGGGCATGGGGCCCTCCGGAGAGGACCTGAGCAGCTAGCCAGGGGCAGGGGAGGGAGCCCAAGTCCAAAGAGGAACAAAGACAATACTCATTTTTCATGGGGCCTCGATGGCAGATGGTGTGCCAGTCGCAGGCCAGGCCAGGCCACCCCTCTCACCTAGCGAGAAGCAGGGCACCCCTGCCATGGCTCAGGTCTGGCTGCAGATCCCAGGACAGCAGGCAGGAGGGGACATAGACTCACCTGGCCCCACACAG